GTAGAGAGTTAAAAACAAAGCTTGGACACATACACGGTCATGTTGTCAATGGAGTATAGTAAATTGAATAGAATAGGTTATTAGTCCCTAGTCTTAGACTAAGACTAATAAGTTGTAAAACAACAATATATGACTCTTCCATCCACATATTAGTGTTGGGATCCGCGTCGAGGAACCAAACCAAATGCCATTCGAGAATGCAAAACCAACCGATCAATGCACAAACATAAAACACCAATTTTAACATGGTTCGGCAATTGCCTACGTCCACGGAGCAAGAAGGGGATGGGGTTTTTCACTAATAGAGAATAATGGTATAAATTGAGATTACAAATTACTCGAATGGACAAACTAATCTCACCACAAAGATCTTAATCTCTCTAAATAAACCCTAAACAAATAGCTCAGAAAATACTTTTTTCTGTGCTCCAAATATCCCAAACTCAAGCCTTTCAAACCCTAGAAACGTATATTGGTATTTATACAAACACCAAAACCAAATAAGAACAGGAAACCAAAAGTATTTATACAAATTGAGATTATGTTTTTGATTCTCTGTATAACTTCATGAGAATTAGATAGGGTTAGAGATCTATCATAATTATGATTTAGGAGATTGGGTCTCATTACGATTAGGAGTTTGAATCTTATTCTAATTAGATAGGATTAATGATTTTCAGACAGTAGCCATGCATGAACTTAATTTATAACCAGTTTAATTAGCTACTCATCAAATAATATGATCAAAAACTACAAAAGCGTATATTGCCTACACGTTTAGAAAACATCTAATTCTTTTATCTTTGCATTAATGTTACATCAAAGAAATATCTCTAATTAGATTAGTATGCCGTCAGATTTCAATGTAGAATTGAAATTCTTTGGCTGTAGTACTATTTTATGCAATGAATGAGAATTACTTGATATATTGTTCTTTGAGTTGGATTTGAATTAAAATTTAGCCTACATGTTCATATTTTCCTTGCAGGCCTGTACCGGTACCGGGTTGGCGACATCCTTCAGGTGGCCGGATTCCACAATGCCGCCCCACAATTCCGTTTCGTCCACCGCCGCAACGTTGTGCTCAGTGTCGATACTGACAAGACGAACGAGGGCCCCACAATTCCGTTTCGTCCACCGCCGCAACGTTGTGCTCAGTGTCGATACTGACAAGACGAACGAGGGTGACCTCCTCAACGCCATCACGGCCGCCAAGCGCCGCCTCCTCCACCCCCTCCGCCTCTTCCTCACAGAGTACACCAGCTACGCCGACACCTCCTCCATCCCCGGCCACTACGTCCTCTTCTGGGAAATCTCCCCCTCGACCACGATGGTCGACGCCTCTGTCATCGAGGAGTGCTGCTCCGTCGTCGAGGCCTTGCTTGATTCTGTCTACAGGCGGTGCAGGAGAAAGGACAGGTCGATCGGGCCGCTGGAGATCAGGGTGGTCGAGTGCGGCGCGTTCGACGCTCTGATGGACCTGTGCGTGTCTCAGGGATCGTCGGTGAACCAGTACAAGACGCCGAGGTGCGTGAAGTCGCCGGAGGCGATCAGGCTACTGAACGAGAGGGTGGTGGGGAGGTTCTTCAGCAAGAAGACGCCGGAGTGGGAGCCTTGCAGGATTGGAGCTATGTAGTACTGATCAGGGAACTTTTGGTTACTGTTGTATTTTGTTTGATTTTGGTTTTAGTTTCGTGGTTATGGTATCTTTGAAGGGGAGAGGAGGGGAATCTTTATTTCGTCTGCTAGTGAGAGAGAGTGGGGGAATCTGACTGGATATGGGGAGGGAATCTTCTGTGGGGAATCTGACTCGGTAGGGGGAGGGGATCTTCTGTGTGGGGAATCTTTTACATTGTTGTGTAAGTTATTATTGTTTCACTGTTCTTTGAATTTAGCATGTCGCGTTCAGAATTCAGAAGGATATTTCTCACATTATTGATATTGAAGAGTTTAACGCATTTCATGTATACGTGTATTGTAGGTCAAGCAAACAAAGCTCTATTTAAAATAAAAAGAAAACTTTTTTTTGGTCAATGAATGAAAACTTTATTCATCACCAATTGTGGAAATGTATGCGCACATCCAGATACAAGAAAACTAAAGACTGGTTATATAAACCCAATCAACAATCTTTTACAATCTCTCAATGAAGTCTTTCATATGATGTGGTATATTTTCATTCAAAATCTTTGTGTATATACAGATCTTCACTGCACGAAATAGATGTTCAGGTCCTCTAGCTTTCTGCTGAAAAATTCTTTGATTTCTCTCTTGCCATAGCAGATAAACAGATACTGACAGGGCAATTCTCTTCAACTTCTTCTTGAAGCCTATTCCCCTCAAGTTCCTATTGTACCAATTGAAAATCTGGTTCCAGTTATATGACTGCCAGTTGAATTTCAGCCATTCCATCACTTTACTCCAAACACACGCAGAGTATTGACACTCAAAGAAGATATGCTGACAAGTTTCTATTTGGTTATCACTTGAGCACAATATACACTGATTTGAGCTTACCACTCTCATTTTGCACAGTCTCTCTTGCGTGAGTAACCTGGAGAGAGAAGCTAGCCACAGGATGAATGAATGTTTAGGGTAATG